CAGCAAATTCCACATCAGCTAAAAGGAGAACTCCGACGGGACCGAACAGTTATGGTGCCTGCTGCCACTGCACTTCACCAGGGTGGAATCGGTGCTGGAGGGGAAAGCTGGGTTCTCGGTACTCATGGTGTGGTAACCAAAGTACAGGTTCCCGTTGGTTGTGGTCGAATGTGTTGCTGCCTGTCCTGGGATGGAGTTCATCTGGATGCTGCTGGTGCTGGTGTGTTGGGGCGAAGGGTGGGAGAATTTGTGGTTGCCATTGGAGCTCACGGCTGCCTTGAGCTCCTCTCCAGGTTTCTTCATGCGCAGGAACCAAGCGCACCAGTTGAGGAGAATGACCCGGACCTGGACGAAGACACCAGGACAGGACATCGAGGACAATGTTACTTCAGAGCTGGGGTCTGGTAACAGACTACAAGAGGAGAGGAGGTAAACAAAGCTACGTCAACCTACCCATTTAGGCATCTTCCCTCCATGTGGGTCATGGTGGTGGAACTGTAGAACCAGCACTGTGACCACCACAGACAGACCAACGATCATCATGGTACTGGCAAAGTACTGAGCTGCAATGTAGACATATGCATTAATATGCAGGTACAATGATACATCCATCCATCCATTTTCATCCGTTACTGGGTCACGGGGGCAGCAGTCTCCATGACCTCCACCCAAATCACACTGCACCGTACCAACCCCCTAAACCTTCCTGTGGGTGGTGAGTCCACTGGAAGGTACCAACCACCCTAACCGGGATTCGAACTTGCCCAGGAGGTGAACCCTGGGGTTCCACACCCATGACAGAAACATTTTACTTGCTTCTTTGTCATCCTTCACTGTTTCTTTCCTGCATTTCATAATATTTGAACTTCAAGCTAAAAATGATGGGGCAACAATGTTAAAAGAAAAAAAAAAACGTTTTCATTATCATCCAATCAAAGCTGAGAGCACTTTGGAGCATTGTCCTGTCAGTCCACTCCTATCCTGCTCCATCTGCAACGTGTTAATATGTGGACCGCAGTGAGGGCTGCCCTGCTAATGGCTTTGTTTTACATCGCTGAGCTGCCAAATGATGCGGAGCATCATCTCTGTCCGAGGCCTCCACCGTCATCGCATAAAGCAAGATACGGCAGACCGCCCCGTCACCTCAGCTCTGTCACAGCAACTCTGTCCATGTCAAAGTAAGAGCTTTGTTTTTCACATTCCTATATCTTCAACTTCCTGGGCTCAGTTTCCACCCACTGCCTTCAGCTGCCCTCTATTCATCAGTCTGATGTGTGAAGTCAGATATATTTCTCCTACCAACGTTGCCCTGTGGTGTAGATGCATAGTGTGAATTTCTCATCGGTTTTCCACGCTTTTGTTCTTTGACAACTCTGCCCACGGGTTAACATCTCCTGCTGGGTTTCCACACTGACCAATCACCAAGCCTACGTCCACAAGATGCCCATAGGTTCGTGCTACATTATGACTACATCTAAATCATTGGCTGACTTCACTCTAAGAATCTGTTAAAATAATGTTTTTATTTATATGTTTATATGTTTTTATCTTTTTTTTTTTTTAGAATTCCTCAGACTGCTGACCGGCTGTGAAAAATAAAACCAGCAGAAAACCGGCAACATGTCGACCGCGCCAAGGTTTGGTAAACAAAGAAAAATCAATTTCTTTTTGAATTTTAATCCCAAAGAGCCTACTCCATGCTTCAAGTAACAGCATTTGAACCCATACACTGTAAATTTAATTTGGGTTCTGTTAGGGGGCACAGCAACACAAACGATTGTCAGTTTTGGTATTCACACAAGGGTAAATTATATTGTTTTGTTTTTTTCTTTTGCTCAATGAGAATAACAATTTTGTAATTTTCCAAGAGGTTTGACATTTTTGATGTAGAAAGACATCTACAAATGTTTGGATACCACAGATGGGTATCACTGACTTACTCTAAGATGGGACTGTCCCAGTATGTTCACCTCAAGTTACACTTGTGTACAACATCAATTGAGCTCTGATACCATAGGAAACCATGACAACCGGGGAAAAAAAGGATCCGTTTATTTTACCAAGATAGAATTTGCGGTATAGATACAGGCCTGCGGGGATTACATCTACAAAATTTGCCGTAAAAGTAACGAAGGAGAGAGAAAATGGCATTGGAGAAAATTGCTACCCGAGTCAACATGTACGTTTGGATGTAGTATTCCATTGACTTAACATTTAGTCGTAAGATCGTAGCACATAGTTAGGAATATAAATAAGAAAAAAATTTATTCAATCAATCACTTATAGGTGATTGATTGATAGGTGCAATCCCTCGGGGGGGAAAGCGAACTTGGAAGCAATTAAAAATGAAATATAAATACATCATTCAAAAAGGTAAGGCATATTTTGCTATTCTATGATCGTACTTCACTTTGATTTAATTGACTTAGGCTATTAAAGAAAATGAATATTAATTCTGTGGCTAGTTCCAATAGTAAATTACGTCCCCCCCCCCCAACTAAATGTTGATTTAGCTCTCACTTAATACCCCACGTAGTAGATTAACGCTTGGTTCAATGTTTACACATTTTAATTTTAGATGTAGTGAAGTCATTTAAAGTGTGACGGTGTGTACACGGACACTAATTGAGTTCTGATCAGCCAACAGAAAGAAGAGGTCCATAAAACTGGGGGACGGCCACTGCCACTACCTCAGAGAATGGTTTGAGCTAGTTGTATTGTAATGTATACATTTTCATGTACCAATCTTTCAAGGTAGTTGATCATATAGCTGGACATTGATGCTGTGAAAGGACTTTACTATTTTACATAGTTTAGCCACTGACCCCACTCTGAGATTGCAACTGAATTTATATCTGCGTATTTAAAATAATAGAATATATGATGTCGACATTAGTCACCTGCAACATATATGCAACTTTATTAGCAGCATTCTCGTAACATTGCACTTTTCTTTAAATGCGCAAAGAAACTTTCCACTTCTGTTTTTTTGTTCATTTTGATAGTTTGATGCTTTTAATTTAGCAGTAATGTATAATGTGCTACCACATTTTTTCACTATGTCCCACTGTGGCCAAATGACCAAATAAACTATGGACTGGTACTGGTCCGTGGACCGGGGGTTGGGGACCCCTGATCTACACAGTCTTCCGTTTACATTTACAACTGGCACTTCAAGGGAAAGGGGACTAGTGTGACACCCCTGCCCTAGTGGATGTAGGAAAGAAGTGACCGAGGCAAGCATCTTGGCATGCATCAAGTGAGAGAATATGGTAATTTAAAAAAACAAAAACAAAAAAAACATCTGGTACTTTTTTTTTGATTAAATCCCTACCAAGTAATTACAAAAGAATGAACGTAGAAAAAGAACGTAGAAATCGTCAGTCCTACCAATCAAAGGTACAGAGTCTGAAGTTGCCGGCATGATTTCTGCCACCAGCAGCATGAAGACAGTCAGGGACAGCAGCACCGTGATGCCTTAGGAAGAAACAAGACAGATGAGCTAAAACACATTTGCAAAAAGTCTCACTGAATTGCAACTTGAGACAAACGTGATGCTGCCAATAACACAACAACAGCTGTGATCTCTTTAAAAGTTGTTTTTCTTTTTCTTCCTGTTTTTACCTTTAGTTTTCTACTATTCTTAGAACCAGCTGCCATTTCCAGGCGAAGGTGATTATTTCTGCCGTGTTTATAATAAAGCTATTATTTGTCTGCTAATGACAGGGTCCCAACACTGATGCTCATCCCTGGTTATAATGTCAGCATTAGCATACGGCCGTGACAAATAAACAAAGATGGATCAGCAACAGCCCCAGGACCTGGTCTACGGAGATCACAGGAGCTCAGGAGAGCCATGCATCTTTATCCACATGTATGATTCTCATCATTAATTATTGTGTGTTCATATTAGTGAAAGTGTGTGTGCCGACAGGGATAAGCTGATAATGATAATGTGTTTGGGTATGTGTGTGTGTGTGTTCTCTGCTTGGTACCTAGTGAGATCTTCTCCCCAGAATCAGCAGGGAGCAGGAAGACCAGCAGGGCCAGACCAGATATGAGGACGCAGGGGATGAGCAGGTTGAGGCCGTAATAAAGAGTCCTGCGGCGCATGGTGACCGTGAATGTCACATCAGGGTACGGTTCTTTACAGCACTCATAATACAGCTCATTACGTTTGGCGGGCACACCTGAGGGAGGTGGAACCAAGGGTCGTCATTAAGATGTCAGTTAGAATTTAGCAGCAGGGACATTAAAAACACAGGCTCAGGTTAGGTTTCTGCTTCTGCTACACGGTCCAGAACAATAAAAACAAGTGGTTTTTAATAGAAAATATATGTTAAAGTGTTCAGTTGTGATTAAATCATCGCTAAACCCCCTATGTTTTATGACACCTTCAAATCTGCTGTTTTCAGATATAGTTAAACAACTGAATTGACGTCTTACCTAAATGAGCCTAACTTAGGCATCAATGAGCAACGGATATTGTCGTTTTATTTATTTATTTTTATTCTTATTCACTTTGTTGGTCCCAAACAAGTTCATTTTATCGCTCTTAATTTTTATTTAATGCCATGAATCCATTAATATGTATATGTGTGTATATATATGTATATATGTATATATATGTATATATGTGTATTTATATATGTGTATATATGTGTATATATGTGTATATATGTATATATATGAATATATATGTGTATATATGTGTATATATATGTATATATGTGTATTTATATATGTGTATATATGTATATATATGTGTGTGTATATATATACATATATGTGCAAAGGGTAGTTTAATATTATACCTTTTTATTCGCTTTCATCAAATAAAATAGTGACATTTATTTGGGTTTTATGTCGTTTGGGATTTTTATGATGCATTTCAGGGCATGTTTATTCATTTTGATTTGATTTGAATGAGTTGTAAAAACAAATTTAATCACTTGGAAAATGTCCTTTGTCCTTCGGTGCACGACAGGCTTCCTCTATAGGGAATAATAGTTCAAAAAATAGTTCATAAAAGTTCAAGTGCAGGGTCTCATTGATGTGGATAATTAGTGAGCTAGACTGAAAGACTGCAGCTGGTGTTGATTTAGGCTTGACATAAATTTAATTTCACTGGTCAAGTGTCACCTGGACACCAAAGAGACGTAACCTTTGTTAGGCATCTGCTCATTTGATGAACTGTAGACCCGCAGCTGTGCCCACCAAATACTCTGTGTTATTTACACACTCTGGCATGGTTGTATAGGTTTCGAAAGCACAGGGTCACAGTGTTTGTGTGTGTGTGTTTGTGTCTTTGGCCAGCTTTTTGCCAGAATTAATTGAACCATCCCTGCCCCAGCTGTCCACATGCACACATACACACACACCTACATCCTGCACTCTAGTTTCCCTGGACTGACTGGGTCACACACTCACTCTGTCTGTGTAAATATGCACTCCCTTCTTTGGCTTGTGGCTAAAACACTAAATTAGTTTAGAGATTATTGGAGTTTTTTTATTTCCCGAAGGACAGAAATGACACTCCGAAGGACACAATTAAAATTAGATGAAAAAAAGTTAACACTAAATGTCTTTTTGACTCGTGAACAGATACAAAGAAAATTACAGAAAACGTATGCATATGCAGTTGTAATGCAAATGTACGGCTTGGTGTTTTAGTTATGCAGTTTTACATCTTGTCTTGTGTTGCACCACCTCTGAATGAATTGAATTTTAGCTCATTAAATCTCATATTTTCACTTCCTTTCTAGATTCATATTTCTTAATTCTACTCTAAGATCACCTGTGTAGTATTTTCAATTCCGAGTATAAAATCTGATCAGTGCAGTTTAAGACTTCCTCAGGAGGAAGAACCTGCGTGGATACAGAATTAGTTCGCTGTAACCAAGACCTGAATGACAGTGAGAAGCCAAGCAGACTGACATCCTATAGAAACATTGACAACCCTGAACCGCCGGCTGTCAGAATTTCCTGACAACCAGTCAGGGTCTGAAATCCCAAAATATACGACACAAAGCTGCCCCTTCATCAGACTCTTCATGTTTTTCTTTCCGTCGGTTCGAAACATTCACAAAATGTTTGTTTCTCTCTTACCCACAAGGTCCCACTCTCCGTTGGGGATGTAGGTGGAGATGTCTACATCCATCATCTGGAGGTCCAGCAGCCAGCCGTTGTAGGTCCAAGAACCAAACTTCAGATCACATTTCTGCACATCGAAGGGGAACCATCGGACATCGATGTAGCAGGTGCTTTTTAAAATGCCTGGGGAGAAAGGTAAGACCAAGTTTCGTTAAACTAAACTTTTGCTTGAGTTTGATGAGTTGTTACAAGCTACCATGCCTGAAAAACTTAGCTCAGTGAAAGCAAATGTTCGAGGCAGGATTTAAAGGAGAAAATAGAAACAAGCACAGAAGCATTTACACACACACATATATACAAATATATACATATATATTTCTGTATAAATATATATATATATATACTTTATACATGAATAAACATATACTCACATAAATATATATATTTATATATATGTGTGTATGTATATATGTGTAAATATGCATATTTATAGACTTCAGTGTAAAATAACAGGGAAAAATGACTAAATAATCTGTTTAAATAATACGTATTAATTTCATGCAAGTCGTAGATTGACATTTAGAAATATTTGGAAAATATGCCTTTTTTAAGAAGAGTTTTCAATAATGTATGTCAATTCTTGGCCAATTATAATTAATCATCTGCAAAAAAAAATCCCCTCTCTAGCATTTCGTATGTTCCTCTAGTCTTCATCTTGGCAAATGAACAATTAATTAATCATCTGCAAAAAAATCGTCTCTAGCATTTCGTATGTTCATCTAGTCTTCATCTTGGCAAATGAACAAACTGCACCTTACATGTAATTAATGTGATTAACGAGGCAATTAAAAAGGTTTATGCTGTACAGTAGGGTATATATTTAGCACAGTGAGTGAATCACCTGGTGGGATGTACTGACAGAATCCTGAAGAATTCACCAGCACGTTAGTGTGAAACGTGGCGTCAAACCTCTCGTCGGCACTGCACGGAGAGAAGTGTGTGTGTGTTTAAAATTTTTTTTTTTTGGCAATCATCTCAAATAAATGTAGATTTCCTCTATGGATATGACAGTCAAACAGAGAGAAAAATTATACAGTCAAACAAATCACACAGAACTTCTTCCAAGAACAGAAACCACACCCACGACATAAATGTCACTGGCCTTTATCTTCAGAAAGGAAACGAAAGAGCCTGAAATATCTAAGAATGAAATGAAATAACTATCATTACCGAGACTGAATGCTTTTCATCTCCAAGTATAATTTCATGCAAAAGAAGCATGAAATTGTTCACTGTTTTGTCCTGGGTATAAAGCCTATTGTATTTGGTGCGTTAATGCGACTCAGTGGTTCATCCATTTAACCAGTATTCACTCAGACTTCACAGTGTAGGCCCAACCATCAAAACTCCAGCACTTTGATTTCTGTATTATTATAAATAAATCAGTGACAAACCAGAATGACACTGAAGAAAAGATGAATAAAAATAAATGCATAAATAACACATAGGAAACCAGAAACACAACTTTCTTTGAGAAAGTTCCACAGTAACAGACAGATTTTATGATAGTGCCCCCCTTTTGTAGATGGCAGTACTACCCCCCGTCGCCCCTCCCATTAGCACATTCACAGCTTTTACTAGAAATCTCCATTAAAACCACTGTGATTCTCAACTACTGCTGCAGAAATGAATAAAAAATATAAAATTCTATAAAATCTATATGCCTTGCTACAACACCTCAAATAGCGTCTAAGGAGGTGTGGCATTGTAGCAATGGTGAGGAGGACAGATGAAGCAACGTTAAATAACCCATCTTGATGTGTCAACTAGTAAATAACCCAACATAGACGTTGTGACTTAACAAAAGAATTTAAGGCATTCATTTCGTTTGTCTGACAACTGACAGAAAAGCAAGAAACTTAGAAATTGACCTAACTAAGTATCTGCTGGAAATTACAGTCTAGTAATAATAATAATATCACTGTTACTAATTACTAATAAAAAATCATGTAAAACATAGTATAGTATGTAAAACGTGTAAAATCAAAATGTCAACAAAAATTAGCTGAGGGAAAACGTGAAAAATAATGTTGGGTCTTCATAGACTTCTGTTGGCCATTCATTTTTTATAATTGTTTTGTAATTTGAAATTGCTATTTCTTAGCAAGACAATAAGCTAGGTGTAAGTTTAGTTTAAAAAATTAAATTTATTAAACGGTAACAGGCAGGAAAATCTTTTTGTTTTGGCCTTTTTCAATATTTTTCTGTGGCAGTGATTTAAACGCTGGCTGCTGCTAAATGTAGCTTAAATGCATTCCATCTCACGATATGTGAAAAGTCATTCAGTATTAGACAGTGCACCGTGTGTCTTCCACCATTTGTTTCTGTCCATTAGTCCATGTCTACTAATCATAAAAGAGTGAAGGTGAGGACACAGGAGCTGAAACTCTCCCTGAAGGTTTTTGTTGGACAGGAACAGTAGGACATAAATTTGGGCAAACGAGTTGGGCCTGAGGCCAGAAGGCTTATGATAAGGTAAAACTTTAGACCCGTTGCAAAGAATAAAGATATGTGTGACTCTTCAAAAAAGACCAGCTGACAATTCTCTAATCTAAAGCTGAAGGGAAAAAAAAAAACGACCACGCTAAAGAGCCGTTAATCATAGTCACGTAACTTGGTATTAATAGATTTACCATGAGGTATGAATGTGTATTATCTTTTGTTGACATTTGGAAAAAAGTAGGTTTACACTCTAAATTAAAAACAATCCATCAAAAAATGCAAATGTAGGATACGGATAATTTGATTTGAGGTTCTTTCAAATTAAAGGTCAAGCTTTGCTTTGATTAATAGCGGCATGACTAAAATATGCAAATCTTGTTGAGTATGCAATAAAAATACAATCTTTGCCCCATCCATAGTAAATACATGTAAGGATATAATTAAGGATGTCCGTTATTAACTTTTGTTGATATCCGATATGCCGATATTGTCCAAACACTTAATTTCCGATTCTGATATCAACCAATACTGACATAGCGGGGCAGTGGTGGAAGTGTTGCCTGCTCACTAAGCTCGATTATTTTCTGCCCCCTAGGGGACAAAATCAAAATACTATTGACCGCCTGGTAATATTTGTTTGTTTATCTGTACAAACCACTGTTAGAGTATCAATATCGATTAGCTGCAATGCTGCTATCTATTGACTGTAGGCTTGTTTATTGTTCATAATGTTCATGTGTAATGAAGTGTAATGAGTTAACAGTTACGGGTATGGGAGTGGGAGTGGGAGTGAGGTGGTGTGATGAGAGCGCGTATTAGTGCGTGTATAAGAAAGAGAGTGTGAAGAGTGTGAGAGGAGGAAAAGGCATTTTTAAAGGAATTATTGCAGTTGTGTTTCAATAAAAGTTCTTCAGAGTACTGAGACATCTGATTGGTCTAACGCCAAGGCATTAAACTATTTTTAGAGCATACATCATTTGGTGTTATCGAGTTTTCATTATTGGAGAACAACGATTCTTACAGATACTACAAAATATGTTTATATCGCATCGATAATATCGGTCGGCCGATATTATCAGACATCCCTAGATATAATGAAAACGCTGACAACCATAAAGTTTGATGCAGAAGACCTTTTAAAAAAAATTTCCTAGAAGATACCAGATTAAAACAGGTTGCGAGAACTGTTTGAACTAATTGAAGAGAAGATTTTGACGGAAGATACAGAAAAATGACCACTATCATTTGAGCTAAACTAAGTGCAATTGTTAAGCAGCCCAGACCAATGTCAATCCAGTACCTTCTTTCTCCTCCTTTCTGCCATTTCTGAGGTGATAGTTTCCCTGTTTACAACATGTTGTGTAAAGTTAAATCGATCACTTGGGCTTAGGTATCAGGTCGGATGGGATTCAGTTGTTTTTTTCAATGTTTGATTCTGGATTTTCACATCATCGGATCAGGCCATCCCTAATTTAGAGTTGTTTTAATGCAACAGAAGAGAGTTGAAGTTAACGTCAGCTCAGAACATTACGTAAACAAGCAGCCCGGTTTACATTTTTACATATGAAACATAGATAAAGGAAGTAAGTAAGAGCAGTCCCTTTGGGTGTCAACGTCCCCTAAAGGTATCCAAATGGTAAAATATTTAAAATGTTGCCTGGTGCAGACCAAATGGTTCCTTTATTATTCATCAGAAAGGTTAGCTCTTGTGCTGACGTGAGCGCAGGGCCGTCAGCTGTCTGTCTTTGAGATCAGATCCTCCGTCATCATGGACAGCATGAAGACAAACCCGTACACGTACATACTTGGAATGCATAACTGCTCATAACTTAATGATGATCCAGCTCTTGTTCTAAAGGATTCTACAGTTCTTGAAGAAACAAAGAACCCTTTTGGACGAGAGCTGAATGTTTGTGAATAACCTTAATAACCTTAAAAACCTGACATTATATACAGTATAACTGCAGAAATTATTTTAAAAGGCAACCTCTATATCGTTTATTTTATTAACTTAAATTTAACAAGGTAACTTTCATTAAGTACAAGAAAGATAAATACATGAAAATAACCACTTTCAGGCTGTTTAAGGCTAATTCTCTTTGTGATTTTCTTCTCATAATTTTGTTTTAGTTTAAAGCTTAGCTTTGATGTGTTTCAATGGCAATGTGTGGCCTATAGACACAAGACAGGGAGTGACTAAGCAGGAGGCAGATGTGGAAGTTGGACTTCTGCGTGATTATTGGACAAACTGTTTAAGAGGCGACACCACTTCTTATTGACGGCATTTCTTAGTCATTTTGATGCAGCCTGTTGTTTTTGACCATTTCCATTTAAATATATACTGTTGCTAAGTAGCTAGTATTCTTTGTATTATTCTCATTTTTTTTTTTTTTTGCATTTACATTAATAGCAGAACTCATGTTTAAAGAACAACTGCCACTGTTTCAGAAATACATTTGTATAATTTAATAAATAAAAGAGCTAAGATAAGAAGATTAGGTAATACCTGAAAGGGAAAATGAAAAGACTTTTGAAAAAGTAAAAAAAAAAAAGGCCTAGGGCTGAGAACCTCACAATATTTTATACAACTCTGGCCTTAGAAGAGACAGATAAATAACTGTGGTCAGATGGGCCGCCTTAGAGACACCAGATGTTTGCTTGTCAGAGAGAGAAGTAAAGCAGGAGTTAGAGAGCAGAGCTGGGAGATGGCATCTGCTTGTTAGGACGGAGAAGCGTTTGCATGACTTGCATAACAGTGACGGGGATCTGGTCTACGGCTGAATAACAAAACGTTGCCTGAAATGTAATGCATCATAAGAACACGTTAAAAAAAAAAAAAGCCCCAGAAGCATCGCTTGGTGCTGCGTGTAGCACAAAAACGTCTCCATAAAACAGCTGAAAGCACAGTTTTAATCGTGGTCTCTACACGGCGAGCATCTGTCCTACGACCACCATGAGAAAACAGTACCAATGGAACTCATTAAGCAAAAAAAATTTAAGTACACCATGTAAGACACTTGTGGGATGTTTTTTTTCATTCATCTTTGACCACATTTACATATGCATCCCAGAATAACCAGATGTGGTTCGAGTGCACCCTAGACACAACGAGAGGGCACAAACAACTATTCACACGCACATTCACACCTGTTTTCAGCTTAGAATGAACATTTACAGTCAGCCATCTTGATTTGCGAGTAAATCTCTGAAAGTCACACAAGTCGTGCGACCACCTGAACCCTCTCACCTCCTCTTCTCTCTTGCGACCAGCAGACTTTTCTTCCTCCTAATTTTCCCTCCAGTCCTCCAAAACCGTTTTAAATCCTGACCCCCTGAAAACACCTAGTGCCTTCCAAAGTCCTTCTCTGTCTCCCTTTCTCCTGACCTTTGACACATGAACACCTCCAGC